TTATGTATTTCCCTAGTATATGAGTCCTTGTTCTCTCTTGCCACTTTCAGGAGTTTATTATTGGTGTCTGTCATGTTGGTTTCAGCATGTCTAGATGTTGTTTGGGTTTATTTTTATTGGCACCTCTTAGATCAGTGCACCAGTCTCCCTCTTTATATTGGTAATGTTCTTAGCTATTATTTCTTCAACCAGCTTTTATTACTTTTTTTTAAACCTCTTTCTTTCATAGGAATAGGAATTCCTATTCTGAGATTTTTCCTCCTGATATTGTTAACTATGTCTCTTAAATTCTCTTTTTTCCCCCCCTCAATCTCTTTTAGCGATGATGGTGTATATATACTTTTAGGTCACTGATTCAGTGATCAACTTATTCAATTTTGCTGCTAAGACTTGCTGTGGTATTTTTTAGTGCCTTCACTTCCACTTGAATGAGTTCTTTCATTTTTTCCCATTAGACTCTCTTTGAACTTGTTGATTCTCTGTTCCAGGATGTTTTTCAGATCATTTAACATCAGGAAGATTGTTGTTCTAAAATATCTTCTTTAGGCAGTTTACACAGTTTACAAAGACCTGATGCAGTGGAGTACTTTTGTTCCCATCCATTGATGCAACTGAATTGTTTTGATTTTTTTCATTGCTTCTGATTCTATGTGGTGTTAAGTATGAATGACTGAGCTTCCTTGAGCAGTGATCTAGTGCTTTTCTGCTTCACTGTTATGGAATGTATACTACTTACTCTCCAAAGACGCCTCTTGCTTTGACTCCCGGTAGTGTTGGGGAACAGGGTGGAGACACTGTGTGGTTTACTGTGTAAGCAGGATGGGATCAGACACATGAATCTCCTGGAATGTCTCTCAGGATGGGTCAGCTCCATCCTCAGGGGAGGAGCGGCTGTGGACGCCCTTCACAGTCTACCTGTGTTTGTGGAATGGGATGCAGGCTGCACCTCCCTTCCTGTTTTTTTTCCTTTTATTGTCCACTAAAAGAATTCTGGTATAGTGCACTTCTGGTGGTAATAAACTCCATTCATTTTGTTCATTGAGGAAAATTTTTATTTTTCCATCATATGTTAAAGATAACTTTTCAGGGTGAATATTCTTAGAGATTTATGGGTCTTAGAACTTCCAGAAAGGAAGTTTAATAGATGCTGAGAAAAAACACTTGCCATCTGAACACAGAACCAGGAGTAAGTCATGAGCACTGCAGGGTGTGACTCAAAAGCCAAAAATAAATATATAAATATAATCAGAAGTCAATCACATCATAGAAAAAGGCCTTAACAGTTCACAGCTTGATTTTCTCTAAATATACATGCATCTCGAGCAGGCCCAGTAACGTCTCCATTGGAGACTTTGTTGTTACTGTGTCTGGCATATCGAATACTCTCAGTAGCTTGCCGGGCTCTCCGAGAGGGGCAGAGGAATCGAACTCGGGTCGGCCATGTTGGCTGCATGCAAGGCAGACGCCCTACCCGCTGTGCTATAGCACAGCGGGTAGGGCGTTTGCCTTACAAGCGACCAACATGGCCGACCCGAGTTCGATTCCTCATGTTGGCTGCATGCAAGGCAGACGCCCTACCTGCTGTGCTATAGCACAGCGGGTAGGGCGTTTGCCTTACAAGCGACCAACATGGCCGACCCGAGTTCGATTCCTCCACCCCTCTCGGAGAGCCCGGCAAGCTACCGAGAGTATTCGATATGCCAGACACAGTAACAACAAAGTCTCCAATGGAGACGTTACTGGGCCCGCTCGAGCAAATCGACGATCACCGGGAAGGCCTTTATACATGCATCTAAATATACAAAGGTGAATGGCTGTGGCTTGGAGAGGAATGGGATGAAGATGTTCAAATGAAGATCCTCCAGCTAACATACATATTGCATGACCTGACTCTGGGGAATGGGAAATAAAAATACATCAAACCAGTGACCAGAGGTGAAAGATGGTGCTTCTAGTAGAAACTGATTTCTGGGGGCATGACAGAATATACCCCTAAGTATAAACAAAATATACCCCTAAGTTCTAGTGTTTTTAGTTAATTGTAGCTGGGCTATTGACTCCTTTCTTCCTACTTCACGGAATAGTGTAGCAATTTGTTTCATGTTCCAGAGGTAGAGAATTGTAATAAGGACTTTGACAGGATTAGGAGCTGGGAGTAATTATACAGGAATAGAGCTAGTGTGGAGCTCTCCCTCTGGGCCTTTTCCCTCCCTCCTTAACCCTTCTGGTCATGCTTAACCCTTCTGGTAATGGCCACAGTCTAAATTGCAGAAAAATAAAAGAAGCTAATCCATGTGAAAATTCTATGGGTAGCTTGTTAAAATGAGATAGAATTTCTCAAAGAAATTAACAAGTTCTCAGAGTGATGTGGTATTGGAGGAGGTGACAAAGAATTGAGAAGTTCCATCATAAACATAGAGAAGATTCAATATATGAAAAATGAACTCTGAGGGATTCTTCACCAAAGAAATGAAAAGATTAAAAATTTCCAAGAATGCTGAGTATGACTGTGAATGAAATTTAATCTACCAGTTAAAGTATAATAAGTAGACTCAATCTTGCAAAAGAATATCATAAATTGAAGATAAAATCACATTAATGACTCAAAATGAAGAGGAGAAATAATATTTAGGAAAAATTAAAATTGACCAGAATTATCAGGCAATATTGAAAGGTAAATATCAGAATAATGAGAGCTCCAGGAGGTGAAGTGAGAAAGGGAGCTAATACCTGAGGACTTCCCAAACATAAGGCAAGAACTTAACTGTAGATGTCTTGGAAGCTGGTAGAACCATTAAAAGCTCTGTGGATTGTACCATGTCAGAAATGAAATTTTTATATTTTACTATCAAGTAGGGCTAGAGCGATAGCACAGCGGGTAGGGCGTTTGCCTTGCACGCAGCCAACATGGCCGACCCGAGTTCGATTCCTCCGCCCCTCTCGGAGAGCCCGGCAAGCTACTGAGAGTATTTGATATGCCAGACACAGTAACAACAAAGTCTCCAATGGAGACGTTACTGGGCCCGCTCGAGCAAATCGATGATCAATGGGAGGGCCTTTACTTACTTTACTTTTACTGTTCAAGTCATTAGCAGCAGGAAAGTCTGAATAATTGTGTATGTGATGTCTGTGCATTTCTTTGCAGTTTGTCTATGAATTTGTCATAATTAAAATGAGAGGGGTTTTTTTGCAGCCCGGGGACTTTTGTTTGTTTGTTTCTGGACCACACCCAGCAGTGCTCAGGGCTGACTTCTGGCTCTGTGCTCAGGGACAACTCCTGACAGGTTCAGGGGACCATATGGGTGTCAGGGATTGAACCAGATCAGCTATATGTTAGGCAAGAACACTACCTACTCTATCATCACTCCAGCCCCCTGATCATACATTTTTGGGTTGAGAAAAGAACTCAGTAGATCTGATTCTTTTTAATCAAAAGTCTTCCTCTTCTTTTTAATATCCAAGATATATAAGGCACTGTTAGAACTTTACAAGAAAAAAAAAACATCCAATACCATCAAAAAATGAGAAGAGATGAACAGAAATTTCTTCATAGAAGAAATACAAATGGCCAAAAGGCACATGAAAAAAATGCTTTGCATTTCTAATTGTTTCTATTATTATTTGTGTCAAGGAGATACAAATCAAAACAACAATGAAATATATCTCTGCTGGAGCCATGGCGCTGCCATCACCACTGAGGTCCACAGGGCACAGCTCCACCAGTGGGTCAGCCTGAACACAGAGAGTGAAGACATCAGCAGCCTGATGATGCCTTTGGCCTTTCTGACACCCCATAATCTCTGTGCTTGTAGCAGGACTCCAACAATTTAGTACCAATTTTTCCGAGAAATTAAATGGCCCAAAGTTAGGTATGTAGGAGCCACACCCACAACCACCTCTGGCTCACCCATGCAAGCTCATTTATTGGCCTGGCTCCAGAGACCAAATAATAAATCTCAAAGAGATCAAAAGCTGCAGTTAATTTCTGACCAGTAAAAGACTGAATAGAACGGGATAGATTGGAGGGATGGGTTTACCTGGTTCCTGCCCAAGCAGAGCCCTCGGAGCCTCTTGCTCCCACAATCCAAATTGCTGCCATTTCCCTGGCTGGACTCCACTGTCTTTTTTGGGTCACACCCAGCGAAGCTCAGGGGTTACTCCTGGCTCTGCACTCAGGAATTACTCATGGTGGTGCTTGGGGGTCCATATGGGATGCGGGGGATTGAATTCTGGTTGGCCGCCTGCAAGGCAAACACCCTATCAGCTGTACTATCACTCCAGCCCCGGAACCATATATTTTTAAAAGCTTTCCCAATTAAAGACAGACTGATGAGTGGGAGGAAAATGGGGGGAGAGAGAAAATTGGTGTAGGGAAGTGGGCACTAGTGAAGGGATTGGTGTTGAAACAATGTATGCCTGAAACCCAATCATGAATAACTTTGTAATTTCACTTTCACTAATACAAAAAAGAAGACAAGCCCTCCTTTTAAACATTTTGGGTTGAAAGAATGTATTGATAATAGTTAATATTCATACATCCTTAAAAATGCTTTAAGACAAGTTTAGGAAGCACAATGTCTTTCTTAACCTTGGCATGATGCAGTTAGTTAGTGAAAGGTCACACCTTGTCTATAACATTAAAAATCTAGCTTTTTAGAAATAGGTGTTTGGGGATGAAAATTTTAGTCCTTGAGAGTACTAAGATAAAAGAAAAAAATCACAAGATGCAGAGAAGTAGAAGAATATTATTGTGGCAAATGTTTTGTGTATCAAGACTGAAATATGAGTGGTGACAAAACTCTTATACAATATTGAACCTGGGAGATTATATGTTACAGGCTATTACATTTTTGTGGCAATTTTTTTGGTAGCAATTTTTGGTAATTTTGTGATCAGTTATGTTTTTGTGCTTTTACTTAAAAAACCCAGATTAATGGTTTTTATTTAAAATATTTAATATTAAAAGAATAAAATAATATTACAGGAAATAAATAATAATATGGAGCCCAATCTTCAGATGGAACCATCATCATCTAACTTTGCTCTTCAAAGTTCTTCAGAGACATTATTTTCTATTCAATTACTGGATTTCAAAACCAGCTTACTGGAAGTATTAGAAGAATTACGTATGAGAAGGGTAAGTGTTTTAATTTTTTTTTTAAATCAGAGAATTTGATTTTTAATTCTTTTTCCTTTGGTATGTTTATCTAAAGAAAAATAAGGCCTAACCCATAACAGTCCAAATACTGAATTAAAGAGAAAAGAACAAATTTAAGTGACTTCAAGGAATGAGAAAGAAGGATAATTTATGAACAAATTAAGAACAATACATTTTTGACTATAAATACTTGATATAACAGCTTATAATTTTTTTGTGCTTTGGAATGAATAGATAACAACAATTATACAATGTTAATGAAGAGCTTTTATTCAGAATAATTTTTTTAAGTTAAGAGGTTGATGAATATGCATGATAATACTCATTTATGGAATAAAGAAACAAAACAAGGAACAAAATAACCAAATCAACCTTTGATTCAGATCATAAAATTGTTGCCACTTGAGATTGTGTGACACAAAGAATGTAAGTGAATGGAATTCAGCACTTTGATGATGAGCATCCTATAACAATTTACTATAATAAGGTTTACTTTAACAGGTGGGAAAAACACTTCTGAAACATATGCAATAATGTGTATTAATGTTACCTCAATCAAAAATTGTAAAAAGAAATATATACCTATGAAATATTTAATAATGAAGCACTAAAATTAGCTCTGGTGCAAATTAAATACCCCTTTGTAGTTATAATGTATATAAATATATCTACATTATATATAATTTATAATTTATGAATTACACAAATTATGTAAAATATTATATACATTCCTTAATTCTCATGGAAAACTGATAAAATAGGAATTATCCACATTGCAAAGGTAATATTTTAATGTTTTTCTGTTATATTAGAATTTTAATCTAACTTTATTAAAATTTAATCTATTAAAATTATTTGTTGTTTTGTTGAAACTTTAAATTTTTATCTTCATTCTACAAACTGTTTTGCAAGTTATTAATTCTTACTAAATTGTCAGTGAGCAAAAATATCAATTTATTAATAAAATCCTATATGTAACTTCAATGAAGTATCCAAGAATATAGAACCTAGGAAATTGTTTATTTTTTATTTGATGCCTTAGGACTACAAGGATTTAAGTGTTTTTACAAAAACAATAAAAGAGGAGTAATTTGATGGTTTATTTACTCTTTATAACCTTTAGGAAGTGTCATGCTTTTTTAAAAGTGCTTGCTCCAGGCTGTAGTTTTACAAGATGGGCTGTATTGGTCAGGCCTCTTCAATTCTTGACCCTGAACAGATTTAGGGACATAATACATAGATAAAGCAAGCACTAGTCTAAGCAGCCCAAAATGTAACTGGGTACTTTTATTTTCCTTTAAAACTCATAATTCACCTCCTACGAAATTGCCCACTTTAGTTTCTCATGTTTATAATAAAATAATATTTTCAGATAGTTTTTCTGATTAACTACAAAGTATTTGAGATAATTATCTCTAATATACATATGATAACCTAAAAGTTTATTTTAAAAATTGATTTCCCAATTAATATTTAAACCACTGCTTTTACACTAGTCAGTGTAATCAGTTAAAGATTTATTAAATAAGAAAATATTAATATTAAAATGTTCATAGCAATTCTTAAATTCTTTTGTTTTTCCATTTAACAATTATTTCTATTTCTTGTTTAGAAATGTTCTATGAAACCATCAAAATGTACTTGCATATTTGAAATAAGTAATATAATAATTTAGAATGATTTTCTAACTTTTCTGGGACATAGAGATTAAATTCTGAAGTTTTAGAAGAAGAGGAGTATAACTATTCATACTGTCTATACCACCTGATGTCTTTTAATGGTGATACAATGGCCTATTCAACAGATTTAGAAACTGATTATCTAGATTCAAATACTGGCCCTGCTGTTTACTTGTTATGTGACTTTTAGGCAAGTTATTTAATAACCCAATTTTCTCATTTATAAAATGGTAATAGCAAAATGATCACCTTATGCAATTATATATGGGATTGTATTAATTAGTACATAAGTGCTTTGAATTGGTATATAAATAAGAGTTAACTATCAGAACTCACTTTTACCTCTGAAACAGAAGTGTACAACTAGACCCAGACAAGGAAAATAGTAACTTTAGTTTTAGTTCAACTAATTTATGAAGATATGCATGTTTTTCTTTTTTTTAAATGCATATTTTTCTTTAGGAAGAAAAAGCACATTCCCTTTTCCTCCCTCCCAAATGAACATAGACATCTGTTTTTTCTTTTGTAATATGCTTTATTTTGGTTGACTGGGAGAGTGGGGATGCCTTCCAAGTGGTGATAAGAAGGTCCAAGGACGCTTTCAAACCTGAGTCGGCCTCAGGCAAGGCAAGTGCCTTACCCACTGTACTATTTCTCTGGCCCCCAAAATAGTCAAGGCTTTAAAGCCCAAGGGAAATTATTTAGGTAATGGTAAAATAGAAAAGTAGCACTGTAGCACTGTCTTCCCATTGTTCATCGATTTGATCGAGCGGGCACCAGTAACGTCTCCATTGTGAGACTTGTTAGTTTTTGGCATATGTGTACATCATGGGTAGCTTGCCAGGCTCTGCCATGTGGATGGGATACTCTCGGTAGTTTGCTGGTCTCTCCAAGAGGGATGGAGAAATCGAACCCGGGCCGGCCATGTGCAAGGCAGATGCCCTACGTGCTGTGCTGTTGCTCTAGCCCAAAATAGAAAAGTAGGTAGAATTATAGTCCTAGATGATATTGCCGAGCCACTGGAAGTCAGTTAATCAATTAGAGGCACTCTACATGTAGTTCTTTCTTTTTTCACACCCAGTAGTGCTCAGGGTTGGAAGTTCATTTCATTCTATACTGTATGTGTTGTTTCATTCTTTTCTTGTTTGAAGCTTTTTTGTTTTGTTGTGTTTTGTTTTGTTTTGCATGGGTGGGGGACAGACCAGCAGTGCTCAGGGTTTACACTTGGCTCTGTGCTCAGGGATTACTCCTGGCTGGGTTAGGGGACCATACGGGGTGCTATGGATCTACCCCAAGTCAGCTGAGTACAAATCAAAAACCATATACCAATCCACTGTAATATCATTTCAGACCCCAGATTTTAGAGTTTTTCTAGAAAGATCTGTGAATCTTAAACATTTTCCCACATAATTGAGATTTTGCTTCTGTCTTGCAGCTCCTTCTGTTCCTTCCATACTTCCTTCTTTCCTTCCTTTCTTCCTTCCCTTTGCTGTTAAATAAGAATGATGACAGTAGATATCCCTCTTCCTTATACTTGACCTTAGAACATTCAGTCTTTTTTTCGTTTTATAAAGTTGTTCATGATTTAATACATTCAATATTTCAACACCAATCCCACCAACAGTGCACTTTCCCACAATCATTATTTCCAATTTTCCCAACCACCCCTCAATCCTGCCCCTATAGCTGGCCCTGAATAATTTATTTTATAATGCTGGTTGTAATTTGCTAAAAGTTATTAAGAAATGTTTCCTTAGAAGAAGTTGTGGCTATTATTGTATCTCATCATAGAGCCATTAAGGTTTTGTAGAAGAGATTACTAACATGTTGTTACCAGTTAAACCTTGTGTAGAACATTCAGTCCCTAGGTTTGCTCTTCAAGCCTGTGTTCTCCTTTAAACATGCATTTCACTTGCTTGTCTCTGTTTCTTTGCTTACTTATTTCTACTCTGGAGAAGCCTGTGTTTTCTCTCAAAGATGTACTTCTCTGTTTCCCTCATATCTTTCTAAATAAGTTTCAATAAAAACTACCTTGCTTTGTCAAAAAAATAACATTCAGTTTTTAATTATTAAATATTGTACTAAACATAGTGTTTCCATAAATATCTTTTATCACATTGAGGTAATTACTTTATTCCTAAGAACTTTTAAATTTTTATTTTATTTTAATTATTTATTGCTTTTTCTTTTTAGGTCACACCTGGTAATGCTCAGGGCTCATGCTTGAGCATCAAATTCCTGGCTCATGCACTCAGGAATTACTCCTGAAGGTGCTCAGGGGACCATATGGGATGCTGGGAATCGAACCCGGGTTGGCCGCATGCAAGACAAATGCCATACCCACTGTGCTATTGCTCCAGCCCCAGAACTTTTTATTTTGTCATGAGTAGAGGTTAAATTTTGTCAGATGCATTTGTTAGTTGATATGGTTGTGTGATTTTTCTTTTTTAGCATATTGATATGGTAAATTACATCAACTGTTGAATCAGATTTGCATACCTAGAACAAGGTATGCAAATCAGGATATGTTGTATATTTTTTAATGCATCATTGATTTCTGTTTGCTAATGCATTGTTAAGGCTTTTCCACTAGAAATTGTGAGATATTTAATTTTTTTTATCTGTACCTGGTTTTATCATCACAGCGAACAGGTTTTGTTTAATTAGAACTTGCTCTCTCCTCTTTTATTTTGTATAATATACTTGCATAGACATGGTGTTCATTTTTCCTTATTAAAATTTTGTTTTATTGAATCACAGTGAAATTCAACAAAAATTGCAAGGTTGTTCATGATTGTGTTTCAGTTTTATAATGTTCCAACACCCATCGCTTACTAGTGTATATTTACCACCACCAGTGCCCCCAGTTTTCCTCCCTAATTCTTCCTTATTTGACAGAACTCTCCAGTGAAATTCTCTGGACCTGGAGGCTTCAGGGAGGAGCTTGTAAATGAATGATTATTGGACTGTTTAGATTAGTCATATAATCCGTTTTTGTTGTCAGGGGGAGTTGTTGCAGCACACTCAGCAGTGTCAGGGATCACTCCTGGCAGGCTCAGGAGACCATATGGGGTGCTGGGTATCAAAGCTGGATCAATCACATGCAAGGCAAGTGCCCTACCTGCTGTACTATCAGTCTGGTCCACTTATATAATTGGTCGCGTGCAAGGCAAATGCCCTACCTGCTGAGCTATCACTCCAGCCCCCTCAACTTAAGTTCTAACAGTAGTTTCAGATTCCTCTGGTGACATCTGAAATTATGGTGTGAGCTAATAAGGTATATTAAATAATTTTAAACCAAGTCAAGAGGGTCTTTGTAAATAACTGTTTTCTGCTTGGTTCTCAACTTCTCTTTTCAAAATTGGCTATTCCCTTTGTGCTGTATATCAAGGGAGTCTGTCCTCAATATTTATTTTCCTGTTCTTTTCCCTTGATGTTTGTTATTTGGGTAGTAATGGCAGTTGGAGGAAAAGGGACATATTCTGAAATTCTTATTAATCTTCAATGTTAGGTTAACATAAATTTCAGGGGTGAGTTCTTCACAAGCGTTCTGATCCCTCCTTCATATTTCTTTTAATTTATTTTTTTTTGTTTTTGTAGGAGTACTGCTATTTATTCAGCCCCCGATTAGCTGATTGAATTGGGCATGAACTCCACCTTAATTTTTAAGTTTTTATATTTATTTATTGAATCACTGTGGGAAAAGTTACTAAGCTTTCAGGTTTAAGTCTTGGTCATACAATGATCAAACACCTTTCCCTTCACCAGTACTCATTTTTCACCACCAAGAACCCCAGTATACCCCCGCTCCAACCCCTCCAAATGCCTGTGAGACAGATGATTTCTACTTAACTCTTCTCTACATTGATTACATTCATTATTTCGACAAAAGATGCACAATTATTGTTTAGAATTTCCCCCCAAACAATCAGTATTGCTGAAAAGGCATTGTGAAATATTTTGTTTTCTATAGCTGGTTATGAGAATCATATAATGTTATGTGGCCACGATTTTGGATTTCTGCAAAGAGCCAGATAATTACGAGATTGGTTTCTGTGTGTCTGGTGTTATGGCCATGCTGGAGAGCTGCTCGTTGGGGGTAACTTGTGACCTCGGTAGGGCATGAAGGATGTGCCAATACTGCTCCCCTTCCCCCTTCCCATGAGACTGCAGTTGCCCCGTCACCACTGGCTCATACCTGGCTTTCCTATAAACTCTGAGGCGGCGGCCACCTCGCTGCCAGGTGGGGGAAAGGCGGAAGGGAGCAACACCCTTTCCCTCCTGGGGAGGCATGGCACTGTAGTTTAATGCATGGTCCATTCACTTTTCTGCCGCAAGCTTCCGGGCTCTGGATTAAGTCCTTTTGCCTCTGGAGCCATGGCCGTGCCAGAGAGCCGCTTGTGGAGGGTAACTCGTGATCTCAGTAGGGCGTGAAGGATGAGCCGGTACCGCCCCCCTTCCCATGAGACTGCAGTTGCCCCGTCACCGCTGGCTCATATCTGGCTTTCAATAAGCCCTGAGCTGGCGGCCACCTTGTATGCAGTCCCAATGCATTTCTGCCAAAAGCCACTGGGTTTCAAAATTTGTTTCTGAGTCTCCGGTATCATGGCTATTAATCAGCTCGATCAGGAGCCAGAGAGGCTGTTTATAGGAAGCGACTCGGGGTCTCATTGGGATGGGGAGAAAGAGTTGGCTCCACCCCCTTGTGGTGAGGCCCCGTGTGTCTCGTCACTGCAGGCCCAAACCTGACTATCCAGTGGCCTCTGGAGGATGGCGGTCACCAGGCCACCAGGGGGAACAGGCCAAGGTATGAAACCTATTCCCACCCTGAGTGGCCCAGTGCCAGTAACCTACTGCAGGAACAGGACGCATTTCTGCCAAAAGCCTTTAGGTTCCAAGATTCGTTCTGAGACTCTGGGATTATGGCCATTAAGCAGTTCGATTAGGAACCAGAGAGGTCATGCCTCCAATTATATAGCTGAGCCGGAGGTGGTTTGTGGGTGTGTCTCCCACATACCTAACTTTTGGCCGTGTACTTTCTTGGTAAACTTTGCCCCAAGTTTTTGGGGTCTGGCCAAAGGCACAGCAGTTAATTTTAGGGTATCTGAAAGTCTGACGTTGCCATCAGGCTGCTGGTGCACTCACCTCACAGGTACAGATTGACCTGCTGGCAGCACCATACCCCCCCCCTTTATATTTAATGTTGGTTTTAATATGTATCCGTCTTCTTTTTCCAGCGATAAAGCTATTATTTATTTGCTTTACCAGTTTTCCTTTTGTAGTAGCAGTGGGTTTCCACAGGTGCTCTCATACATTGCACTTTCCCCTGAATGAAAACTTTTTTTAGTGGGAGTATAGAAGACAGGTCTGTGTAAATAGAACATTTCATAACACCTCTGGAACCAAGAGACACTGCATTTCCTTGCCTTAGCACTGAACCATCAGGATGTCCTGAGTATAGCCAGGAGTGGCTATACTTCCAGCCCTCACCCCCAACATGTTGGGGGAGACATTCCCCCAAAGGAAAAGACTTATAGAGGATATAAATCTTATTTCTAGAATTCCCTGATGTCTCCCAGTCTTAAACAATCTACAGTCTGCTATACTTAAATAAGTCTAGCAATTTATTTAAGGACTTATGGCTATTTTCTTACTACGATACAATCACTTAAGTCCCAGGTAAGCAAATGCTCTGTTTCTTCAGGCACTTGTCTCTATAGAGATTTAGGGTTACTTAATTTATATAAGATCTTCATTCTCTTATGGGTTTGTCTGTTTATTTCATAACTCATCTGTTTTTTGTTGTGAATGTGGTAGGATAAAAGTCTCTCTAGAGTCTTGAGAAAAAATTAAAGTGAAATTATTTTTCTAGAATTTTTTCTTCTTTTTTACATAGGAAGCAGAAACTCAATATGAAGAGCAAATTGGTAAAATTATTGTGGAAACACAAGAACTAAAATGGCAAAAGGTCAGTAATTTTTCCCTTAAATCAGCATTTTTAACTTCTACTTAAGAATTTTTTTATATCTTTATTGCAAAGTTAGTTTAAATTTATTTTTGCTTTGTTTTTGGGGGGTCACACCCACTGATGCAAAGGGGTTACTCCTGGCTCTGTACTCAGGAATCACTCCTGGTGGTACTTGGGGGACCATATGGGATGGTCGGAATTGAACGTGGGTTTCCGCATGCAAGGCAAACACCCTATCTGCTGTGTTATTGCTCCAGCCTCCAGTTTAAATTTTTTTAAATATATTTGGGGGATGATGTATCATTTTATTCTATTTGTTGTATTTCATTTCGGGGGGAGGGGACTCATAAACATTGTTCAGGGGCCCCTGGGGACACTTTCAGCAGTTATCAGCCTTGTGGTATAAAACTGACAGTACTTTGGGCCTGTTGCTGCTTGGGCCCAGTGTTGCTCAGGTAGCCACTGGTACATGAGATTTAATTGGAAACTTGTACATACAAGACCTGAGTTCCAGTCCTTTGAGCTACCTCCTAGTTCCTCCCAGCCCCTATTTCATCTTTTGTGTGTATGTTGGGAGGAGCAGGGGGTTGGCCTCCTTAGGGCCGCCTCCCTAGAAATTCTGGGAAGGACAGGATTCACTCCTGGAGATACTCAGCTGGGCTGTGTGGGCCTTATTTTTTGGCACTCTGGGAGACCATTCAGTGCTGGGGAATAAACTTGGGACCTAACACATGCCTTACATCCACTCCATCCTATTGAGTTTTCTCACCCGTGTATCATTTTAAACAAAGCCTTAGGTAAAGAGTTACACCTGTTAATCTTTCAGCATCTGTACCGCAAAGCATAAAGCCCAAAAGGGGATCGAGAGAGAGACAGAGAGAGAGGAAGGGGAAGAGAGAGGGAGGGAGGGAAGGAGGAAAGGAAGAAGGGAGGGAGGGAAGGAAGAAGGGAAGGAGGGAGGGGAAAAGAGAGGGAGGGAGGGAAGGAGGAAAGGAAGGAGGGAGGGGAAAAGAGAGGGAGGGAGGGAGGGAGGGAGGGAGGAAGGAAGGAAGGAAGGAAGGAAGGAAGGAAGGAAGGAAGGAAGGCAGGAAGGAAGGAAGGAAAAAAATGCCTGCCATAGAAGCAGGCAGAATGGGGTGGGGAGCAGGAGGGAAACTTGGAACATTGATTGTGGGAGATGTACACTGATGAAGGAATGAGGTGTTGGAACATTATATGACTGAAAACCAATGATGATGCATAGTTTGTAACTGTGTCTCACTGATTCAATTAAAAAAATAAAACAAAATTTTTTTAAGAAGTGAATTCTCAGAATAGCAATTTTCCCTGGAATTATAGACTATAGTCAAATAAAAATATAGTATATTACCAGATTTTATCCTAGCTCTAATCTTAGCTGTGTGTGTGTTGGGGAAGGAGTGGCGGGGGATGGTGTGGGGCTTGGGGGCGTGAGAGGACTGGCAGGGTGTCATAACCTGAGCTGAAGGCTCACTTATGCAAGGTAGTTGCTCTGCTACTGAGCCAGGTCTCTGAGCCTTAAAAAGCTGTGTCGATAGCTTCTCTTGCCTTTTTCCAAAGTAATCTTACAACTAAAAATTGAAAGTTTAGCAAGTGACCTCTGTTCTCATTATTTGAAAATATTTTACTTGGAGGTAACATCAGAATTAAAATTCAGGTGTTTGGGGATAAATCATACAAGAAATGAAAGGAATTTTGAGGTCAAACAGATCCACGAGACTGTGTAGAATATGGTGGTCAAATGAGAATTCCATCTTTTGAAAGAAAGGTTGGAAACAAGAGGCTTGTCTGTGGAGAAAGAAAACAGGTCAACACCAAGCATAACCTAAAGCTCCAAGGAGATTCAAAATGTCTAGACATATTTTGATTTTGAAGAGAGTCACAAGTATAAAATTGCCAAAATCCTTAAGTTGATCAGTAGATTTAATACAGTCGGAGCAGATTGAACAATTTTGTGCTGAGGCTTGAGGATGTTGCAGTGCTGCTGGAGACTTGTGCCAGGGACCACCTGTGCCACCCTACAGTTTTGGGGGGTCTGTAGGCCAGACCCAGAATTTCTTGGAGGTTTCTAGGACTATATAATCCCTATCTTTCTATGTTGATTCTCTTATCTCTTACAAATTCTTAGTCTGTGAATTACTTCTTTACTTTATAATGTCTTTTATGCATGGGAATTTTAGCTTTCATTAAATCCAGTTTTTCCATATTTTTTTACCTATGCTTTTCGTATTTTTCAAGAAATCGTTGCCAGTTAGACAAGAAAGAGATATTAAGGGGATCCATATTGGAAAAAGAAGCCAAATTATCACTATACTATTATACTTATTAACCTTTAAGACTTTTAGAAAAAACAAATCTCTAAAGTGGCATGGTACAAAATCAAAACACATAAAGCTGTCGCATTTCTCATGCAAGCAATGTAAAAGAGAGAGATTTTTTAAAATTAATTTTTATTAGTGAAACACCATGAGGTACAGTTGTAGACTTACAAATTTTTGTGCTTGGGTTTCAATTATACAATGATCAAATACCCATCCCTCCACCAGTGCCCATTTTCCACCACCATGGATCCCAGTATCCCTCCCATCCCCATCCCCCCCCATCCTACCCGGCCTCTGTGGCAGGGCATTCCCTTTTGTTAAGAGAGTAAAGTAAGTAAGTAAGTAAAGGCCCTCCCGTTGATCGTCGATTTGCTCGAGCGGGCCCAGTAACATCTCCATTGGAGACTTTGTTGTTACTGTGTTTGGCACATTGAATACTCTCGGTAGCTTGCCGGGCTCTCCGAGAGGGGCAGAGGAATCGAACTCAGGTCGGCCATGTTGGCCGCTTGTAAGGCGAACGCCCTACCACTGTGCTATCGCTCCAGCCCTTGTTAAGAGAGAGAATTTTTTAAAAATTCCATTCACGGTATGCTCCCCAAAATCACAACTGGGAATCAAGTTAACAAAAGAGGTAAAAAACTTATACAGCCCATGATCCCAGAGACTCAGAAACAAAGCTTGAAACCTAACGGTTTTTGGCAGAAATGCTTCCAGTTCCTGCGGTAGGTTACAGGCGCTGGGCCACTTCAGGTGGGAATAGGTTTTGTGCCTTGGCCTGTTCCCCCTGGTGGCCCAGTGGCTGCCATCCGCCAGAGGCCACTGGAGAGTCAGGTTTGGGCCCACAGTAACGAGACAGGTAGGGCGTCACGGGATGGGGGTGGAGCCGGCCCTTTCCTCCCCATCCCAACAAGACCCAGAGTCATCACACACGAATGGCCTCTCTGGCTCCTGATGAAGCTGCTTAATGACCATGATCCCAGAGACTCAGAAACAAATCTTGAAACCCAGCGGCATCTGGACCCTGCAGTAGGTTATGTCGCCAGGCCACCCCAGGGGGGAAAGGATGCTGTCCCTCCACCAGCTCCCCCTTGGTGGCTCGGTGGCCGCCATCCTCCAGAGGCATTGGGCAATCAGGTTTGAGCCCTCAGTGACGAGACATGTGGGACCTCATGGGATGGGAGTGGTGCCGGCCCTATCCTTCCCGTCCCAACAAGACCCAGAGTTACCGCCCACGAATGGCCTTTCTGGCTCCTGATCAAGCTGCTTAACAGCCATGATCCAAGAGACTCAGGAACAGATCTGAACCCAGCAGGTTTTGGCATAAATCCCTCCAAGATTTAACTGTAAAAATTTCAAATTTCAAAATCATGCACCCACTACTGCAGTCATGCGACATCATAAGTTATTCATAACCAGCAATAGAAAACAAATTGTCTACTGTTGCCTTTTCAGCAGATCTGAATGTTGGAGTAAAATCCCAAATAATAATGGTGGGTCTGGTGTCAAAGTATTGAATGTAATCAAAGTAGAGAGAGAGTAATGTGGAAATCTTCTGCCTCACAGCTGGGGGAGGGTGTGGGATGGGGGGTATACTGGGGTTTTGGAGGGTGGAGAATGGGCACTGGTGAAGGGACAGGTGTTTCATTGTATGACCGAGAATTAAACCCAAAAGCTTTGTAACTGCTCTCACGGTGATTCAATAAATAAAATTATAAAAAATGAAAAAAAAAGCTTCTTACAAAGAAACCACTATTAAAAGAAAAGAAAACACAAGGAAATGGTAATAAATACACCCTGTTTATAGATGGAAGATTAACATTGTCAAAATGACCATCTTAGCTAAAGCACTATACAGATTCAATACAGTCCCCATCAAAATTACCATGGCATTTTTTTTTTAGGACCTGGGCCAAATGCTGTTAAATTTTATTTAGAATAATAAAACTCCTAGTTTTATTAGAGTAGCCAACAATCACTTTATCACTTGATCACTAGACATCCCGATTTTTTCATTGATTTTCTCAAGTGGGCACCAGTAAAATCTTCATTTGTCCCTGTTGCGTGCTAGTGTAGCCCAGTGGCATCTGCTCGCTCCAGAAACATGAAGAGCCTCAAACTGTTTGTTCAGGGTCTTGACAAAGAAGTCTGACCATCTCGCAGGTGGGCGGCTACGCGATCTTTTGATGTCCCGTGGAATCCAGTCGGTAATGGCTCTAGTCCATCAGTCATCTCCAAATTGAATTACATGTCCAGCCCATCTGATTTTCGACGCCTTGGCAACAAGACAGCATCCCCGATTCTCGATTGTCAAACGAGGTCAGAAATCTGGATTCCTTCTCTCATTTGAGTGAAGTGTGATACTCCAAGCATAGTTCTTTTGATTCCTCTTTGGGATACCCTAATAGCGTTCTCATCCTGTTTTTGTAGGGTCCAGGTCTCTGAGGTGTATGTTAATGCAGGAAGAACAGTGGAGTTGAAGAGATGTGCCCAGAGCCAGAGGTTCTTCATCCTCTTAGCTATTTCTTTGATGCTCTTGAAGACGTTCCAAGCCGCTCTCTTCCTCCTGAGCAACTCAGGTGCAAGGTCATTCGTCATGTTGGCTTCTCAACCTAGATACACATAAATGTTGCATTCGGAGATGTTTGTTCCATTGAGAGCAAA